AAAAATGATTGGAATTGTATATAGTTATGAAGAGATTTTATTGTATATAGTGTATTCTTTTTATATTTTATAGAAATTAAAAATCGTAAACAAAGATATATTTCATTATTTTTGATATGAAAAATATTATAAGATATTAAAAATATCTTTTTATATTCACAATCACAATCGCAATCACAAAATATTATTTTCTAAAATTATAAAAGATCTCTTTATAATTTATCCTACAGAATTTATACAATTCTTCGTATGGCTGTTATAGATTATTAGATATATTCACTTAAATGCAATTTAAAAGATTTTCAGTTACGTAGATTTTCATTATAAGTAGATTAACATCATGTAACTGCAATTTTGTCTTCCACAGAAACTGAACTTATAGGAATAATAATCGTTAGTTAATCATAATATTCATCGTTTGAACGATATCAATATTCTTAAAAAATAAATAATTACTAAACTATTTTGACTAAGAATAACTCATACATCTGTTACAATCGCTCAACTTTCTATGATACAATACGAATACAATATTAATTATAAGTGGATTAATATTCTTGTGCTATAAAGAAATTCATCGAACGTAGTTATAAATTCAATTTATCGACACTGGTTGCATCGGTGTAACGAAGCATCGAATGCCAACTTAGTGTCACTACTCATTACATTCATGCCAGCACTATCATGTTGGAATATTAAGAACGAAACCGTTTATATAATACATTATCTAACGGACGCGAGGTCATAAAAAAAATATTTTTAAATCCCGCTAAATTATCACTAGTACTTTTTTTTTAATAATATTTAATAAATATAAAAATAGAGTTATAAATTTATTGTTTAGATAATTTAACGACCAAGATATTTGTTAATGGTGTTTTATAACGATAATCAATGATATATATATAGTATACATATATTATATATGTATTTAAACAAATATTCAAAATATTTTATGTAAATTATTTATATTTATAAAATTTTCTTATCTTGATATTTCAAACTACTATAAATATAAGCTTATACTATAAATATAATATATAAAATATATATTAAATAGGATATTCATAGTTATAAAAGATATATATATATATATATATATATATTCCAGATATAAATTTTTTTTTAATCAAATGTTTTTTTTGAACAAATGTTTTTTTTTATTTAACTGTCAACATAACATAGATTTTATATATCATTATTATGAATTTTATATCTTCTATCTAGATAAAATTTATTCTTAAACTTGATATTTATAAAGTTTTTTTTATGATTTTGAATAGTTTAAAGTATTGATAATGCAAAGCAAACTTTTCTGTTACTTTATATTGTCCTAAATTTCCATCACAGTTTTTAAATTGTGAATGTGTTAGAAAACACAAACACATACGAAAAAAACGTGAGATCCCGGCTTCGGTCGATAATAAAGAGTGGCCCAGTTAAAAAGCGATGGCTTTCGAAAAAACACAATCCGATATAATAACGTTACGATGCATAAAGGCGCGTGACACACTCGTTATGGGGGCCGCTTCTTCTCAAGAAATCCTCTCATCATGGCGCTCACGTCGACTAAAAATATCGTCTGCATAGTCAACAGCACGTACAGGATTCAAACTTGTATTGTACGCACGTGAAACGAGCTACGTGTGCGAATACATGTGGTTGTATGTAACCGAGCACCGCCCACACAGCAAGAGAATAATTCACTTTTATTGCTCTCATTTCGACCGATGCTCCAACATTCACGGATCAAACATAAAAATTCGAGCAATAGAAATCAACCGTTCAAGTGCCTACCTATGAAATTCCTATTCTTGTGATTAAAATGTATATTTATTTTTATTTTGTTTATTTTATATTTTTTGAAAGTAAAAAACGAAACAAAATAGAGGTAAAATTCTCTTTTAGTATTTTTAATAATTTTTAATAACGGGAAAAAAATTATTAGTAAAATTTAAACTATTAAAATCTGAATTTGATTAACAATTTTTTAGCCATATTTGTTTTTTTTTTCTTTGTATTACACTGAAAATTCATTTCTTGTCTGAAGCTTCGTAAGTGGTGATTCCGTAATTCGTTTTATACATAACTTTTTATTTTTACCTTCTTTTTTTCTTTCTCTTTTTTTCTTGATGAAGAATCTTTTGGTCACATTGCTGAAGTGTTCATACTTGTGATTCTGGGACAATGATAAAGATTCTTTTTTGAACTTTGAATATTCTAATAGATAAAAAATAATACATATATCAGAACATCATATTGATGCAGAAACATCAAATAAAAGAATTCATATAATAATATAAAACTCATAAGTATATAAATTTTAAATATTTAATATATACTATAATATACAACAGTCAAAATATGAGTTTTTATTTATTGAATTTAATAAAAATTTGATATAAAATTTAACAAAAACTATAATCTAATATAATATATTATAAAGTATATTATATTAGATTATGTTGATTATAATTGAATTAGTTTTTTTTTTAAAAAGAATTGAACAATGAACAATTATCAAATAATATATTTTGCACTATAATAAAATCTTTAATGTTTGCGACACACATTACATAATTGATCATAATAAGATTTAGTATTAAGTATTAAGATAAATCATGCTATCGTTCACAAACAAGTTTCTAAATGCATGGTTGAAAGAAGAAACTAACCTATTATTCGGCCAAAGTCTCGCAACATTTCTTTATTCTGTTTATGGTGTAAACAGTGTATCTTCTCTCTCACAATAATCTTATTTCATTCTAGAACAAATTTTAGAAGAAAATAACATAACGAGCAACGTAACGTGTCTCGTAGGTGTAGATCATACACTACGAATCAAAAATTTGAAATCTCTTTTCCAGTTGCATATTTACATTGAACCTTTTGTCAATTTTATTATTAGTAAGTATATTAACACTATAGATATTAATAATAATTTCATTTGCATCGATAGAAATTCCTTCATGAAAAAATTTTTCGACATATATATAAATAAAATTCTAACCTAACTCTTCTTTCGATTCTCAAAATCTTGGATCACGTTAGTGATTCAAAACTTTTGACCGATAGTGTACACTCGCCGGAATCTGTTTTCTTGAGTTCGCAATAAACATAAGAAAACAAACTTATATGATACTTAAACCTAACCTAGACACTTTTCGCAAACGGAATATCCCTTAAACCGTGACTTTTACATACGAACGAAGATCGCTGGAGCGATTCAAATACCGTTGTCGTAATCGACGTCCAAGTATCTTGAATGAAAGTTCATTTCATTGAGGAAATTGCACAAAGAAACGATACGTATTTACGATTTTATATTTTCCTTTGGATAAACGAATTTTCTAAATAGATTATTATTATTTTATTATTATTCATTATTATTATATATATATATATAATGTATTTTTATTAAAGCACAGACATTTCGAAACAAGAGAAAGTAAAATTATACTGCTTTAAAGAAAACAATTTATGCGTGTTCTTGCCATCCTGTCTGTATTAAACTATATTATATGCTAAACGGGATTACGAATCAGTGAATATAATGCAAAAAATAAATGTGTAATAAATAATGTTTTAAAGAAAGTAATTGGCGAAGTCTAATTTGCGAGAAATTTCGTCTCAGTCATAAAACTGGTTTAAAAAAGTTCCCTGTTCCAGTTCGATGTTTTACCGAATTTTTGGCATAAATCTTTTGCCAAAAGGATGCTCGTAAAAATGCTATAAATCAATGGGAAATAAGAATGTAAGAAGAAGAACGAGGGTAGTAACAAGATCGTATTATGAAAAAATTTTAAAATTGTAAAAAAGTGAAATATAGTGAATCGACTATAATTTGATTATACTTGAAAGAATTTTTACAATGCGAACGTTATTCTTACGGTACCTGATCATTATTCTCATTTTAGTGCAGTACGCACAAAAAAGGAGTTGCAATAGGAATTCTCTGCGATCCACTATGCGCGGAAAGAAGGATTCACTCGCTTGCCTGCGAAACGCTGCACGGGGGCAAAGAAGCAGTCTTCTCGGCTCATTGGGAGACAACTCGACTCGTGTTCAAGGCTTCAAGGTTCATTTTTTTTTCTCACGATATATATCACATCAAGTGTTTTCTAACGATGTTTTCCAACTTTTTTCAAAACTTCCTTTTGTGATATTCATATTACTTGTGATCTCTCCTTTTATATAAGAAAAATTAAAAAATTAATTAATTTTTTATTGCCATTAAATATATAACTGTTTTTGAATCAACTGACAAGAAAATCATCTTGATTTATGTTATATAAATGCAAAGTTATTAATTAAAAATGATGGCTGCGTTCTCTAAAATTTATCAAAATTTTAAAAATATTTCACAATTCTTAAAAAAATTAAAATTAAATTTAAATTAAAAAATTAAAATTAAAGTTATACGCCAATTTATCATGTATAAATAACGGAAATGTACACAATATATATGGTAATGATTACAATTTCAGAACGAAAGCCCCATCGGAGCAGTTCGAGTCGTTATTCTGGACGGACACGAGCGGAACGAGGCACTTCCCGTCCGAGACGGACTTCAACACCATGATCAAAGATCTGGTCGTTAGCAAGCTGAACGTGACGCTGTCTCAGCATCAATTAGAGAGGCTAGCGCGGCTTCGTACGCATCGTGTCGAGACCGAGCCCAGAAGGCGACAGCTCGAGATGGAAAATCTGTGGCCGCTGTTACAGGAAAACGAGTATCTGATGAGCATTCTGTACGAGGACAGGGACATTTTTCCACAGTTGATTGGCACATGCGGGACATTCTACGCGGTTGAATATGTACGACCTATAGAAACACCCACGACAGTCCTCGCGCTCTCCGATTCGAAACCGGAATGGGCGAAACGATTGAAGCTAGCCGTGATGATACTGGACCTGCTCGAAGAACTCGACACCAACTTTCCCGAACCGATACATCTGTGCGATGTGAAGATAAACCATTTCGGTTTGCCTTTAGGCGGGCAGAAACTCAAGTTCCTCGATCTGGACGCGGTATTTCCTAAAACGATTATCAGCCGTATCACTGCGGACAGCAAGAGCTGTGAAAAACACGAGGATTGTGATTATTTCGATTGCAGATCTTTCTGCTCGAAAAAAAAACGATGCGAGTCACCGGTTGCCAACAATAATTTACAAGTAATTAATAATTATATTTTGATTAATGCATCATTAAGTTAATCTGAAAAAATCGTTCAATTTATTTCAGAATCCTCAAATCACAAATATATTGAAATAAATATATATATATATATATATAAAATATAACTTATAAAAATAATAAGATTAATATCGGAAAAGGTAATTGTTATTACTAAATGGCTATTCAATTTCAGATTGTATGCGAGAAAATATTTCTCGGTTGGACTCTCTCAGGGACTCTTATAATTCCTGGACTATTAATGTCAGAGCATACCACTAGCTCATTGGCAGTTCTTTTGCGACAATGTGCGAATCCAGCTGGTGACATCGAGCATTTACCACGTGCTGCAGTACCAGACAATCTCAAAACGCGATTATACAATATGCTACATGAAATGGAACAGGAGGTTGCTGCTTCTGTTTAGAAATGTTTTAATTTAAACACTAAAAATCTAAAAAATATCAAAGATCTTGGTTTCTATGAACAGATATAGATACATATAGATATAAATACATATTTTCAAAAGTATTGAGTTAAAATGATGAAAGATGTTGCAAGAATTAATTTATTGTAATGAAAAAATTATTATTAAACAAAATATTAACAATTGGAAGTATGAAAATAAAAATAAAAATAGGAAATTATAATATAAATAAAATTTTCTTGAAAAATTTAATTTAATAAGATGATTAAATTATCAATATTATTGAAATTTTTCAAGAAATTCATATGATATCTAAAATTTTTTAAAAAATATAAGATATGAAAATGTCTTCGAAATATACATATTTTTAAAATTTATTAACCTTCTAAACTCCTAATAATAATAATAAATTTAACATTTTGAAATATAAAACTTATCAATAGAATGCGGATATTTGTATATGTAATTTTGAGAAATTTAAAGATGCAAAAGAATATTTGTAACATATGTAATATACAAAATTGTGAAAAATATCCAAAGTAAAATATTTATCGTAATAAATACAAATTTTTTTCAGATTTCATTTTTCTATTTATTTATAAAAAATGAAAATATAATAAAATTGAATATAAATTATTGAATTGAATTATTATTATTATATGAAATTAATAATAAATATTCGCAATCTATTAATTAAACTTGTTCGAATAGCTATACATATTTAAAAAATTGATAAATATTTTTATTATAACATATTTATTTTAATGGAAAATTTTCTCCATAATTGAATGAAACAATTTTTTAAATGAACAATTTTATTTTTATTTAAATATATAACATTTTTGAACAAAAATATTAAAAATTTCAGAATAACTACGAAAGACGAAATTAAAATTCGCTATCGTTCGAATAAAAAAGTGTTTAACATACATTTATGAATCAAAACAAGTCTTTGAAGAAGTGATTTTTATATACAGTATAATAACATTTATTACGCTTCATTGTCATCTCAATTTTGAAAAGTGATTTCCATTAATTTAAAAATTGATTTATTTCGAAAACTAACAAAAATATAAAGCTTCATGACATAAAGTATTCATCGAATCAAAAGTGAATATTAAAAAAAAAAGCAAATTTTTCAACTTTTTACTGAATTCAGAGAGAAAAGTAATCTTTATATCTAAAGAATATAAGAATATAATAAAATTAATGACCACTAGAGGCTAGTGATAGTAATAAGAAATAGAGAAATAAATTGATAAACAACGAGCACAAATATCAATTACCTTACACGTAATTATAATCATACATATGTACTTTTACTTAAAAATCAATACGATTAGATAGAAGTCAAAGATACACAAATATTATTATTTTTAGTATCTACGCCTATGGCTTGAGAATTTATTAATAATAAGTAAGAATTCAGTAATTTACTGATTACTTAGTAACTTTTAATAATTAATAATACTATTTTAAAAAAATCATTGTAGAATTGTATTCTATCTTTGTCAAAATTTTGATATCTACTGCAATACAAATTTTGCATGTAAAAGATAATTTATAAATTTAATATCACGATTTTAAAATTAATTAAATGAAATATAATTTTCAATAAAAAATAATTTATATGCATGTTTGTTATTTATTTATTTTAATGAAGAAGTTATTAAAAGTTTATTTTGAAATTAAATCATTATTATCTTAAATATGTATATTAATATTTATTCCATGAAATTTAAATTTTAAGTCATCTATAATATTAATATAAATAAACTCTTATAATAAAAATTTTAAGTAAATTTGAAGTAAATAAAATTTTTAAAATTAGATATATGTGAATAAAAGCATGAGTTTTCAAATTTAAAAATAAAACTTTTCTTGATCTATATTGAATAAAATTAATAACTAACATTATATTTATTATATTATTATTACAATTTATTCTGCAAAAAAATATATAATAAATTCAAAATTATTATGAATAATATTACTATTAAATTTTTATAAAATTACTAGCAAAAACATTATATAATAATTTAACTACATAGTTAGGGATTTTGTCTTTAAGTGATTGTATTCTGTATCCGAAATAACCTATATTCGGTATTACTTAGTTATTCATTGAAACGTCCGAAGTATAAGTACGTGTTAAATAATTTAGTCGTCTTATAATGACGATTAAAGAAAATAAATTCACTGAATTGATTAAATTTAAATCCTGGGGTTGTTATCCCGAAGGATATAATCCTGCAGAACATGGCCCATATGATCCTTCTCGATACTACGGGAAACGTAAGATACAGATCAATTTCAATTATTTCTTTAATTGCAAATGAATTAATTATATTAATTATTATTTATTCTTATAGCTGATACACCATTTGGCGATGTCAAACTTGGTGAATTATCAGCATGGTTTAGTCGACGTGAAAAAGGATTTAGACAACTTGCAGCATTAATTTCTCGAGGTATAAAGTCATTTTATAAAGTCTTACTGTAGTACACAAATTATATAACACTTATATTAAAATCTTTATTATTATATGTGCATAATATTATCAGAAAATTAATTTTAAATCAATTGATAATTTCTCTATATATTTTTATAAAATTTTGTAAAATTTCATAAAAATTTACATTTAAATCTGTATCAGTCATTAATATTTTCTTATTATATAAAACTAAAACTTATTATTATTATATTGTTACAAATATTAAAATATGTTCTAATTATAATAAAATTACAGCGCATTGGCGTTGGCAACTAAAATATTTACATCCCAGAAAAGCAAACATGGTTCCATTATATCAAGCTGCTATTTTAGGTTCAATATTTGGTTATTGCATAAATTACTTGCGTCTCAGTAAGTTTATATATAATCTTATAATTAATTATTAATTATAAAAATTAGTATATTAATATATTAATATCATATTGTATATTTTCATTTTCAGGGGGACATAGAAATTACAAATATCATTAAAACACTATGTTATTATATCAGTGTTTAACATAAAAATGTATTCAAAATGAAGTACTATTGTAATGATTTAGTTAACAAAAGTAAATGTCAACAATTTTGGACATCTATAATGTAAAATAAATATTATTCAAACATTTAATTATGTGTAATCATAGAATATAAAAAAATATTTAATATTTCATAATTTATTTCTTATTTTTTTTTATATTTTCTATATATATTTTATCACTTAAAAAGAAAATTTTATTATTTAAAATAATAAATATAAAATAAATAATATCAATATATAACAAGTAAATCAATGTAATAATTAGAAAAAATAATTAATATTTTAAATTATATATACATTTTTATTTTGATTTCTAACTTATATAAAAATTTCAAACTTAAATGTTTTGTATTGAAAAGTCTGTAAAAAATTGTTCATTATATACTAAAATCAAAGATAAAATGATTTATAAAATGGTATAATTACATAATCTTAATCTTAAATGATATGTAAATATATTGTAAATATAAAATTTTTAAAATGACGTAAAAAATGTAAAAAAAAATTTACCAAGAATCATATGAATAATTGAATAGAAATATTAAAAAGTAAGAATAACAGGAAGCATACATATGCATTTTGCGATCTTTAATAATGAATTATAAAGTAATTTTAGAAAGAAGTAGCGCTCTTAGAATGTATGTGTACGCGGCATAATTTCTTTCTACGCATAAAGCATGTGCAACTTAATGTGATCATTGCACGAAGAAAACGTTGATTGGTTCATCGATCTATAAGATGCAAATAATCCACCAATGAGAGTAAAATTGGGGGACAAAACTCAGGTTCCTCTGCAACATGGCTGTCAGTATAAATTTGATGCTTGTAACATGCGTTTCTCTCCGAAAAATTTGACAAGTAGTCTGTCTAGCTGTCGACTTTTTCGAAATATACAGCGTAATGTGATTTTCGGGGAATCAATACAGTGGGAAACGGCTATGCGGGTTAGCTGAAACCTAGCAGTTAAATACATTGTATTTTAAAATCAGGTATGCTAATGATCCTTCATCACTATTTATTTATATGTCCATATTGTGTTTTTTATAATATCTCAAAAAATAACATGTTATGCTTAAATTTCTTAATTAAAACTTATATCATTTTCTCTAATTTTTTCATTATATAGATCTCCAAACTTTGTATTGATTAAAAAACATTCTCGCAGATGTCATCTATCATTTTCTTCATTAATTAAACTGTAACAAACTTTCGCTCTTAAACTTGACAATCGATTTTTTTTATTTAGATCATTTTCTTCTTTTTATTAAATAAATAATAAATAATATATTATTTATTTTGATATTTCCTATACTCTATTTTATTTTGCACAGTTAGTGCATTTCATATTTTTAATCGAATTTTTGTGATATTTTATATTTTAAATATATATACATATATATACTTTTATATATTTATATTTATTCTCTGTAAATATTAACATTATATATAATAATTTTTAATAATAATCTCTCATTTGTATTTGTAAAAATTATATATAAATATATGTATACATATTATCTTATTTTGATTTTAGGGATTTATAGCTGTTCATTGATCAACATTACTTATAAACATGACATCAAGGTAAAATACTGATAATTATTTATTTAAAATAAAATATATAAAGTAATATGATTGTTTATAATATTTACAATTATAAAAATAAAATATCTTATTATGATATAATAATGAATATAAATTTAATAATTAAGAAATATTATTAGTAAAATTTACATATATTTTTGTAAAATAGATTGTTATTTATAACTTTATATAATAATAAAGAGAATTTTATGACAATTATAATGCATTTCTATTAGGCTGGATAGGCTATTCATATTATTAGAAACAGGGACAAATGCAGTAACTAAAAGAGCTGCAGCACAACAGTTAGGAGAAGCACAAAGATTACATCCTCATGATTTACATCATTTATTAGCAAGAGTTTGTACTCTACTAAAATCTCCACAATGGGATACTAGAGTTTCAGCTGCACAAGCTATACAAGCTATACTTGCTCAAGTCCCTGTTTGGGATCCATTACCTATTAAAAAAGAAACACATACAGGTAATTAATTTTATTTTTGTTGTTATTTAAATTTATTGTATTTTATTTCTAATTTTATAACTTTTAATTGGTAGAAGATAGTGGAATAAAAAAATCAAATAATAAGTTAAATTTGGAAGATTTTGATATGGAAAAGATTTTAGCACGTAGTTCACATCTTACTGGATCAGAAGGCAGTGAATATGATTTAATTGCTGTTGATGGAGAACAAATGCTACTTCCCAATCAAGAAGAAAAAATTGCTGCTAAATTAGGTCTTCATCCACAATTAATAGGAGTTGATACATCAGAATTGTTTACAGCTGAAGATCTTACTCCAATAGTATTACCACCTACCTCAAATATACAAACTAAAATATCTCTGAGTGAAACATTAAAACAATCTGGTGGTCTTAGTAGACGTGAAATGAATAGAGCTAGACGTAAGGTAATATATAATCATTTTATTGAAATCTTATTATCAAAAATATGGTTGTTTAAAATATTTATTAAATAGGCACGACAATCGGTTTCGAAACGTTCACGAGAATCGGATGACCATCGTAACAACGAAGATTATCATAATAATTCAAATGCTCAATCTCCCGTTAGTACGGGAGAATTAAATAAAAAAATTAAATTAGAGGAAGTAATTTCATCAGAAATTGGCATTAATTATACACAGACTGAATCAAGCAATGGAGTACCAGATAGTACTGGTTGCTGGCCGGAAACTTTGATAGATTGGCCTTTAGAATCGTTTACAGAAAATCTTTGTCAAGATTTATTTAGTCAAAAATGGGAAATAAGACATGGCGCAGCAACTGCGTTACGAGAACTCATAAAACTTCATGGGAAAAGTATGAAAATATTAACAATTATAAATTACAATAAAAATGCAATAAAATTAATTAAAATTTACAACAGGCGCAGGTAAATCAAGGGATCAAACTATAGAAGAAATGGCAGAAAGTCATTATCAGTGGCTTATTGATGCCGCTCTGCGATTATTATGTGTCTTAGGACTAGATAGATTTGGCGATTTTGTTTCTGATCAAGTAGTTGCACCTGTACGAGAAACGTGTGCCCAAGCACTAGGTTCTCTTTTATTATTAGTGCCAAATAAAAATGATAATGAAGATAAAAATGGAGGAATTATAGGAATACTTTCAGTTATGCTAAAACTTTTAGAACATGACGAATGGGAAGCTAGACATGGTGCATTACTTGCACTTAAATATTTGCTTGCTGTACGAGATGATTTATTAGATGACATTTTACCAAGAATATTTCCAGCTACTATGAAAGGTCTTTCTGATCCAGTTGATGATGTAGGTGCTGCTGCAGCAAGTGCACTTATACCAGTAGCATCTGCTTTACCACGTTTATTAAAACCATCAGAATTGGAAGCAATTATAATTCGTCTTTGGGAACTTTTACGTGAACAAGATGATCTAGCAGCAGCATGTAATAGTTTTATGGGATTACTTGCTGCTATACTTTCATTACCTTCGGCACGTGCTTGTCTTACACCTCAACCATTGTCGCAAGTAAAAATCAGAATAATACAATTGCTATTTTTTTATACTGTTTAATTTTTATTTTAATATGGTCTTTATAAATATATTCTAGGTTTTACCACGACTATGGCCATTTCTTAGTCATTCTAGTTCGAGTGTACGTAAAGCCACTCTACAAACATTACAAACATTAACTGGAGATGACGGTGCTCATAATGAAAATAAAAAAGAACGATGGGGCGAAGGAGGTGGATTTGTATTACAAGAAGCTCTTCGTCATGTTTTTCAACGCGTGCTGATAGAACATGTAATTGCCATACAAGATGTAGCTGAACGTGTTTGGGAAAATCTAGTCGTACAAAGTGATCTCGAACTTCTATTGCATGCTGCGTGTCCTCTTGTCAGCACTTGGCTCTGTCTTGCTATGCAACCGGAACACGTGCCATTTAATCCGAACTTACTAATGATAATAAGTTCTAGTAAAGCAGCTAAAAGTAACCAAGTTATTGGTATTTGCGATGGACAATCAGATGTTACTAATAATGGAGGAAATAATAATGTCAGCACAAATGTAAAATCCATATCTGAATTAAAAGTTTATATTGGTGGAATTGAAACTGTAGCTCAAAATATAAGAAAATCAAATGTAGTTCAGGCTCGTTGTAGAGCTGCACGAATGCTAGGATTGTTATCGCATTACGTAGTACAACCTGCACCAGGTGTTACTTACACACCAGATGTACCTAGTCCTTCACTTTGTTATGCTAAAGTATTACTGGCACATCTTAATTCGCGCTCGGCATTGCAACGCACTGTTGCAGGTTTAACGATGTCTCATTGGGCGACTGTAAATAACATGAAACCTCCTACAATACCAGATATTCTAAGGTATAAAAATAAATCTTCCTATATTACCTTTAATTAATGTAATATAATAATAATATGTTTTCAAAAGGAAGAGACTATTGGAGTGTTTGAACGAATGCGTATACTATGACGAGATCGCCACATCTTTTACTCGTCTACTACACGACAGTCGTGATTACATTGCTACTCTCAAACATTATAAATTGCCTGTTCCTATCGAAATAGATGCATCGGGAGTAATGACTCTCGATCAAATTGCAAATCTTGCTGGAAAGCCAATTTCAGAACTTTGTGCCATGGGCAATGCAACAAGCTCCGGAGGATCCAGCGGAAATATTAGCGGCTCTAGTACGATTAAGTTGAAGCCAAAGTTGATCGAAAGTTTAGAAGATAGACGAAAAGCATTAGAAATAGGTGCTGCCGATACAGCAGCCCAGCAACTTTCGTACAATGTTATGTCAATGGCAGCACTTGCTGGTGCTGCTACGATGTTACATTGTCTTCCTCCGTCCCCGCAACCTTTGAATCCATTGGTAAAACCATTAATGGAATCTATCAAACGTGAAGAAAATGAAGAGTTACAAAAGTTAGCTGCAAAGCATTTGTCATATCTAGTTGATCTTTGTGTAGATAGAAAACCTTCTCCTAATGCAAAGGTATAATCACAAAACAATTGAAATGATTAATATAAATAGTTACTATGTTCTTTTAAAATAATTTAATATAATTTTATATCATAGATATCGACCAATTTATGTACATTCCTATGTTCGGATATTGAATTTACACCTCGTGTGAATTGTAATACAGACTCAGATCTATTTGATGGAATTCTTACTTTGAGCAATAGACAAAAACATGCTGAAAGAATAGCTTATAATCGAGGCGCCAATAGTGGACTTGGTGGAAGCAGAGGACCTGGTCGACCACCAACAACTGAAATTCCTTTAGAAGAACTACTTGCTTGCGAGGAACCTGAAGCTAAAGCTGCTAGAACTCGTCGTCGTGGAGCTACTTTAGCACTTACTGCTATAGGTTTGCAATAAAAAATTTTAATAAATGTAATATTAACAAATTATGCAAATTTATAATTTATATATCTTTTTATTTTTATAGCTACGCTATTTGGTTCACAATTACCTACACGTTTACCACATCTTTGGGAATTAATTTTACCGAACATATTACGTGAAGAGGATAAAATCGTTAGTCGTGAAAATACTCAAGAAGAAGTAAATCAGTTAATTTTTGGTTTACAAGTTTTAGAAATTATGGCACCCAGTCTTGATAAAGCTTTACTGCCTCCCGCTCTAGAATGTCTTTCATGTTTATGTCAATTATTGGCTCATCCTTACAAAGCTGTTAGACATATGGCATCAAGATGTATTGCTATATTAGCTACATTAGATACTGAAAAGGTATTATTTTCATTTAATATTTTATTAATTCTTGATCATTATATTAAAATTTTATTTCAGATTATGACTCATGTTACGCGCCGAATAATACCGCTTCTAGAAGCAACTGGCGGAGAAAAAATATATTCAACAACTGTAGTAGCACCGAATGAAGTAGATACAATAAGACAGGGTGGAGCTGAAGCATTAACGTGCCTTGTCGAAAGTTTAGGTGTTAATATTGTTCCATATGCTGTACTCTTTATGGTTCCTTTACTTGGTCGTATGAGTGATCAAAATCAGGCTGTAAGATTAGCTTGTAGTGCTACATTTGCAACACTTGTACAATTATTACCTCTTGATCCTGGTGCAATTGCAGATCCACCAGATTTAGTGTAAGTTTAAATTTTATTGATAAAAGAAAGTGAATGAACATAAATTTAATATGCATTCAATAAAAATTATGTATTATGCATTTTAAAATTTTTTAGAGAAAAGAAAGCACAAGAGCGACGATTCTTAGAACAACTTTTAAATCCACGCAGTATTCCAGATACCGAATTACCGATTTTAGTAGCTGCCGAATTACGTTCTTATCAGAGACAAGGCTTAAATTGGTTAAATTTCTTAAATCGTTATCAACTTCATGGAGTTTTATGTGATGATATGGGTCTTGGAAAAACATTACAAACTCTTTGTATATTAGCTTTAGACCATCATCGCAATCCTCATGCTCCACCAAGTCTAGTGGTTTGTCCACCAACTCTGACTGGTCATTGGGTATATGAAGCAGAAAAGTTTTTCGAAACCAAAGATCTTTCGGTATTACAATATGCTGGCACACCACCCGAACGTGAAAAATTACGTCCAAGAGTTACTTATCACAGACTTGTTGTAGCCAGTTACGATATAGTACGTAAAGATATTGATTATTTTGAAACTCGTCAATGGAATTATTGTGTACTTGACGAAGGTCATGTTATCAAAAATGGAAAAACAAAAAGTGCGAAGGCAACTAAACGATTGCATGCAAATCATAGACTTATACTCTCGGGAACACCAGTACAAAATGACGTTCTTGAATTATGGTCCTTATTCGATTTTTTAATGCCAGGTTTTCTAGGCACTGAAAAACAATTTGCGGCAAAGTACTCACGTCCTATTCTAGCTTGTAGAGAACCAAAAGCTGGTCCAAAAGAACAAGAGGCTGGAGCTCTTGCTATGGAAGCACTTCATAGACAAGTAATTCTCTTTCTTATATAAATTATATGTATTTTTTTATTATAATTGTACATTTTATTATTTATATTGTAGATAAATTCTTATAATTTTATATCATACAGGTTTTGCCATTTTTATTGAGACGAAATAAAGAAGATGTTCTTCAAGATTTACCACCCAAAATTACACAAGATTACTATTGTGATTTATCATCGTTACAACGTATGTTATATGAAGATTTTCGTACTCGACATTCTGCTACTTTGTTATCTTCTACATCATGTACTTCCACCGGAAATGATTCACATGGTGGCCACGTTTTTGAAGCTTTACGATATCTACGTAATGTTTGCAATCATCCTAAATTAGTCTTGAATCAACGACATCCATTATATACATCAGTTAGTATAAATGTCTATATTTATTATATCTAAATTTATTTATGTTTTATTTACTTTATTACTTATTTATTTAAATTGATAATTTGTTTTTAGATATGCAATACATTGAAACAACAAAAGAGTACTTTAGCAGAAATAGAACATGGAGCTAAGTTACCTGCATTAAAACAATTATTATTAGATTGTGGCATAGGACAACCACAACAACAACAAAGTCGCAATTCTGTATCTGCTGGTAGTACTCCAGATAATCAACCACCGCAACAGCAACAATTAGTGAGTCAACATCGAGCTCTTATTTTTTGTCAATTAAAAGCGATGTTGGATATTGTAGAAAAAGATCTTCTTCGTATACATCTACCAACGGTTACGTACCTTCGTCTCGATGGAAGTGTACCAGCGGCACAAAGGCATTCCGTAGTAGCACGTTTCAATGCTGATCCATCTATAGATGTGCTTTTGTTAACAACTCAAGTTGGTGGTCTCGGATTAAATTTAACTGGTGCAGATACTGTTATATTTGTAGAGCATGATTGGAATCCCATGAAGGATCTCCAAGCGATGGATCGAGCACATCGAATTGGACAAAAAAAAGTAGTAAATGTATATAGATTAATCACAAGATCAACAGTAGAGGAAAAGATTATGGGATTACAGAAATTCAAACTTCTTACTGCAAATACTGTAATTTCAACAGAAAACGCGTCTTTGGAAACAATGGCAACAGATCAGGTAATATATATAAATCATTATATTAAATTATATAATTATAACTATTATAATAATAAAAACTTTTTAATAAATTTTTTATCTTTTAATAAAAATTTATTAAATATAATTTCTCAATATTATTTTTACATTTTTTAAGTTTCAAAGAGATACTGTATAGTAAATTTATTTTAATTATATATTAAAAATAAAGTATTTTTAATAAATCTAGTAATCTTTAAATAATTATTTAAATATTAAATAAATGAAATAATAATGAAAATGAAATAATAATATTAAATATATTTTATAAGATTTCTGAAATATTCTATGACAAAATTAACAAAATTTTCAGTTTATAATAAAATTCATTTAATAATGTATTTTTAGCTACTAGATTTATTTTCATTGGATGATAAAGGAAAAAAACAAGAAACAAAAGATGATGATATACCCAAGATTACTGGGGTTCCAGGCATTAGTCGTTCTGTCCTAGAAATTCTTCCTGAATTATGGGAACAACAACAATATGATGATGAATATGATTTTGACTCCTTTCTGTCTACTTTAAAGGCTGATAACCTGTGAGCTTATGATTTTATACATCAGTATCATCAATGACATAATAATGTAATAACATATTAATACATATTTAAAATTTTATCACTTTAAAAATGAACATATGTAAATCAGACCTGATAGCAAAACAGTGATTCTATTAATTTTTTAGACTGAAAATAACAAATATTCAATGAATGTATAAAAATATAAGATTTAAATTAGTTATAGATATATATATATATATAAAAAAAAAAAAAAAAAACTTAGATAAATAAGTTGGATAATATTGATTAAGTACTAGAAGTAAGTAAGTTTTGTTTATTTATAATAACTTATAAAAATGTCGATACAATTACAATTCCGTATTTGTACCAAACAACACATGAGTCACATTTATTTATATTATACTAGTCTCTTCTTTTATCACTGTTACTTTATACCACCACACATAACAACGATAAAAATGGCAATATTGTTTTTTTTCCTCCTGTTCTTATTCTAAATTTTTCTGAATAGAAACCATTCTTCTGAATAAAATGATTTCTGATACAGTAAGTCCCAAGCTATCACAATGTATATTTCAATGTCATTCACTTCATAGTTTTGATACACAATGTGAATCCAAATTCCCAGCAGCAAATATATTATGAGGATCCAAATGTGCTTTGGCTGCACGATAAAGAGATACACCTATTTTTCCTACTGTTTCTGAATAGAAACAAGAACGTAATTTTCCTACACCATGATGATGCGATAAAGAACCACCACTTGCAAGAATTTCTTCACGTGCAATGTGTTCGATAGTTTCATATGTTTCTACCGGATTCGAAATATTTTTATAATTAAACGCCATATAAAAGTATACACAGCAACCAGCGTCATAAGTCTGCGTAACACGACAAGAGATAAGATAATAATCGATTCCACGCGAATAACATTCTCTTGTCACTCGTGATTTCACATTTCTACACAATGATAATGTACGACTCCATGAAACAGATGTTTCAAATGATTCAGCCACAATGTAGAAATCAAGACCAAGATCTCGAATATATGCTATAACAAACGTTAGAATATAACCTCGTTCACCATTTGTTTCTCCTGCTGGAATACCATTGTGCTGCTTCGCGATATTATAAATTTGTTGTTCTTGTGCTGCTACCTCTGCAACTGTGTCACCTTCGAATAATAAAGTAGCGACGCATATTTGGTCCCATTTAAAACGTTTTATCCTAGTAATATAAACTTCTTTTAATCCTTGTAGAATTAAACCAGCCCAATTAGATTCAGGTCGCAACATTTGACCGAATTGGAATTGTTCATTGTCCATCAATCGTATACTAGCAGGTTGACATCGTGCCTTAGCTACCTGATTTATAAAAATGTAAAATGATAAATGATAAATTTTATGAGAAATAAAATTAAATTAGTTTTAAAATATTAAATGTTTAATGTTTATAATAATCAAATTTAATTTTTTAAATAATTAAGAATTATTAAACTTTTAAAAAAATGGTCACAATAAAATCATTAAAAACATGTTATTACATTATTAAATATTACAATAAATAAATATTAAATAAGTATTTACCTGACGCAACGCTGATACACCGGCTTGAAAATGTGGGAAAACTATGCTACCATATTTAATTACTTTCGGCAATGATCTAACTTTTATCACCACTTCTGTAACGATGCCCAAAGTTCCTTCGCTACCAAGGATCATATGGTCAAAATCAGGGCCACAAGAAGCTCTTGGTACTAATATACTTCTTTCTAGTGTTATTTCTGGATCTTCCGTTCTACCGGTGACCATTCGTACTCGTACAACTAGGTCTTCAATGTTCCCATATCGATTCTTTTTCATGCCACTTGCTCTCGTTGCAACCCATCCACCTAAACTGTTCTTTCAAAAAATATAATCGATCATATGATTAATATCCTTGCAATTGCATAAATAATATATAATATTTGACTATTATATATATACCTATACCTATATGTGTACAGGATGAAATTAATAAAACACTAATCATTTTCGAAACTATAAGATAATTTTAATTTTTTTAAATGAAAATAAAATGTTGCGAAGTATATTTATCTATTTCTCTAAAAAAAATACTATTTGTTTTTATCATTTGACAGTTTTATGATATTTAATATCATCGAGACCTTCATTTATTCGCATCTTTTTATTTCACGCAACTAAATATGACAAAAATAATAAACTTATTTTTTAATATTTACTAAAATTTTGATTTATTTTTCACATAAAAATGAAAAAAAGAAGAAAGATAAAAATTTTTTTCATTATAATAGAATATCGCATACCTAGAAAATTCGTAGGAATCAGGTTCGTGACCAGAAGTTAGACCATGTAATCGTAGTTGTTTCTCAAGGTCTTGACCGATAATACCAGCTTCACAACAGGCAATTAAATTTTCCCTGTCTATCCATAATATGCTATTCATTTGCGATGTATCCAGCGATATTATTGTTCGTCGTTCGTTTGCCGGACAAGAGGAAGCACCGCTTACGCTTGTTCCACCGCCAAATGGAATACAAACCAATCCATATTGAGCACATAATTTAATTATTTTTACGACGTCATCATGGCATTCTAAAAATACAACATATGTATATATATACATATATAAAATTCTCGAAAAATCAAATTTCAATCGTTTAAATTCAACAAATTTGATAAAAATATGATAATTTTTAAGAAAACATAAATAAAAAACAAACTTTAAAATTGGAAATCGTAAACATATTTTTTGAAATATTTCTAAGAAGATACCAAGAATTAAAAAAAAAATTGTTTTTTAATCATATCTATGAATATATTAATATTAATTAGATATCTATCTTAATTGATTATTTTTAAATCATTATCATATCAATTTTAAAACATTTTTAAAATAATTTTTTATCGTGAAGTAGTAGAATATATGTATTTTTAATCATGCATAATGCAAATGATAACATTAGATAAGAAATTACTCAAATGTAAATTATAATGAAAATATTCATTATAATTCATTGAATAAATTTATAAAAGAAAAATTGTCAAATTGAACATTTTTAGAACGTACAAATAAGGAAAATTAAAAAATACTTAATAATTAATTACTTCTAGTTATGTGAAAAATAATTTTTTACAGAATTATTCAATAATAAATGAAATTTATATTTTTATATAAAATAATATAACAAATATGCTATTTAAATTAACCTTTTTTAATTTAATTTTTAATTTTTTTTGTAAACTTATTAAATTATTATTTCTAAGATGTTATTCTAATTTGATATGTTATCATAATTTGCTTTCTACGATGATTATAAATAAATTTATTTTTTATAAATTATAAATAATTATTTTTCATGTAAAAAAAAATGTAAGAAAAAATAATATTAAATTATAATAGATATAATAAATAATTATATTTTTTTAAATTAGATATAATATATATATATTTAAATATTTGCATATAAATAAGTTTGATTGAAATTAAATTAAATATTGAATATATAATGATATACATAAATTACGCATATAAATTAGAATATCCTTTATAAAAATAGGTATATATATGTATATGCAAATAAATATAAATTAAGATTAATTTAATAATCAATGAATCAAAACATAATATAAATTAAATTATATAATCAAATAATAATATAAATTAATAATAATTTAAATATTTAAAACATTTAAAATAAATATTTAAGACAAAATATAAATTATAATTGTTTCAATATTATTATAAAATATAAAATAACAACAAAGAAATATTATAAAATATTTTTATAATATAATAACAATAGTTTTTTTATAACGTAGAAATAATTTAGTAAAAGTCAATTTTAAATGAAATAACTATTTTTTTACAATTTTCATAGAATAGTAAATCTAATGAATCATAAGAGTACTAAAAAATATATAAAAATACTAAACTATATTCTAAAATTTATTATTTTATTTAACATTTTTCTTAATCTTATGAATTTCATTGTGAAACATATTCAAAGTAAATCACATGCATCAATGAAATATATCAATTTTCATTACATTTTGGTTTTATCATATTAGAATCTATTTCATTAATACTTCATTAATAGATTAAAATGAAAAAAATTAGGAAAATATTATATATAAAATATTTTTTAATTATTAAAAAATATACAACAAGTATATAAAACAAGTTTTTAAATTTTTGTATTTTCTTTAAAATTAATATATTAATTTCAATTATAATATATTTTTAATAAAATTTTTATTTTTGTTATGCATATTCTCAAATTAAAATATTATAGTTAATCTTATGTTTCTTCAATAAACCTATTATTTACTCAACAATATTGCAATTATTTAAATTTAGTATATTCAAAAAAAAATAGAAAATCATTTTTACATTGATTCGTTTAAACATTATTAGACGCAAATTGTGTTAAGTTGTATGCATCTATGAATACTTATTACCAAGACATTGATTTTTTCAACGGCACAATAACATCCTTTAGACGTGCAATTGTGGCTTCTTTTCATAATTCGAATATTAAGTATGTATTGTATGTAATTTTTTTTCTTTTTATTTTTATTTTTCTATGCTTATTTTTAATGTCTTTACAAATAAATCAATTAAAACTAGAATTTTATATAATAAATAGTTATATAATAAATAGTTAATATATTTAAAATATAATATTTTAATACTCTTTCTTTGTTAACTTTTACTAGTCTAAATCATTCATTAATAAAAATAAAGAAAATTTCTTAATATTTTAAATAAAATATAATTTTCTAATTCAATAAAAAAAAATTTTTGAAAAGACATAATCATATAAGATAACAAAAATGTAATTTTATAAAAAAGATAATTTATATAAAAGATGTAAATACGTATAATGTATAATAATGAAAGAAATATATTCGAAACGAAAGATTATATTAATTAGATATCTATTTTAATTATAAAAGTTTTCATTATATAAAAGTTTATATTATTTGTATTCAATATTATTTAATATTACTTATTCATCTTTACATTATCAATTCACATTATAAATAGAAACGTATATTATACAATGACTATTATAAAGTAATGTAAGTCAAGGTTTGAGAACTTATCTAGTTTCCAGATATTTAAATAATGATATTGTAAATAGCTATAGATATTAAAATGATACGTATCTTTGAAAATTTAAATGAATATCTTTTAACTTTTTAAATCAAATTTAAAAAAAATTTTCTTATCAATAATTTTAATAAATTAATACTAACTATATGTAAAAAGTAATTACAAACTACTTATTATTATTTTATAATTTTATAAAAATTAACACATGTTTTATTTTCTCTTCATTATTAATTAAATACGCATATTAAATATTGTGTCACAAAATGGAATTAATTAAATGTATATTTTGACCTTAAAAGAAACAAAATAAGAAAATAAAAAATATTTAATACCAAAAGATATTTTAGGTTTTTTCCACAAAAATTTATCAGCACATTTTGCAATTCTAAAAATAAAAAAAAAAATTAATATATATGTATAAATTAAAAAGTTATAATAATTATAACAAGAATATAAAATAATAATAGATTTTTTGTTTGATATCAGAGAACCGCTATACCACTAAGGTGAAAATATACTAAGAATAGATTGAATAGGTTTACAAATCATATTATACGTTCTATTTCAAAATATTGAAATAACATCGTTTGAATTCCATCTATGGAAAATTGAATTATTAATTTTTTGTCAATTTCCTTTAATTTCTCAAAATTTTTTCTTTCCGTTCGCTACTGACATGTATTAATTTGTCTTTTCTTATTTTTTTTTTTATTATTTATTATTCTTTATTATTGCATTTAAAAATATAAAATAATCATTTCAAGATGATAAGACAAGCAAATAAATAAAAAAGATTAATTATAAATTACTTACTCGGCCAGAGTACAATATCCGGTATTCGATCAAGCGATCCATGCTTGAGGAGATATATTTCCCGAAGTGTGTGTCCGTGCGCTCTAATCAATCGATCGATACCTTTTAAGGAATATTCAATTTTTAATTCTTGAATTGCTTCCAATTGTTCCGGCGAAATGTTTGATTCTGGTAGATTTGTTGGTATAGATTGTGATTCCCGTCTCTCGGATAAATCTATACCAAATGTGGTTTGTACCCATTTTGTGAAATATGGAAGTTTCGTGTTACCAATGGGATATCTGTAAATATTCTATTTGTTACTGATAATAAATTGGAATATTTAACAATAATAAAGTTTTTAAAAAATTTTCTAATCTTTAATATTAAGCTAATAATTATAAAGAAATTTTATTTTTTAAATTTCAATTATATATTTTTTCGTAATTTTGATTTATAATCAAGCGATAATAATTTTTAGAAATATTTATGAATGTAAATTTTAAAATAGAAAATTTTTCATATTTAATCATGTTAAAACGTTGCTGCATAGATTTGCATAGATAGTTTTTTTTTAAATAATATATCTTATCAAACTTATTTTTCATGAATCTAATATTTTCATAATTATCAGTCAATTATTACATTTACAATTATATTAATATATTACAGTTATTTAAAAGATATTGATCATAATCTCTTTCCAATTTTAATTCTAACACTAAGTTTTTTTCTGTCTTCAGATTTTATTTTTTTAATTCTTTATATATTTTTGCTAAAAAATTATTAATTTTTTCACTCATTAAAAATAATTAACATTAACATCATTATGTCAAAAATTAAAAGAAGAAAAGAAATAAAACATCAACGTTTGTCAACGTTTGGATTAAGATCATTATCATTAATAATCACCCGTAATTAAAAGAAAAAAAGATGGATTTTTTAACGTATGCATATACAATGTATCATGGCAATAAATTAAAAGATGGATTTATCCTTTTTTTATCGTAGCATTATACTTTATCATTTTGCATTACATTACGTAACATTACATTCTATTACTGTTCGTAGTTTGCGTACGAGCGACATAGTTGTCTTTGAGCAGTGTCTTAAAAGCAAAACAAATAATTTACGAAACTAGTAGAATGGGGGCTTGAAATTTTAGATCCTATTAGGCCAAACTATATTGCCTGTTGCCTTGCTGAGCAATATTGATGTATGTAATTCTACGAAAAACGTTAAAAAGAAAAATGTAATGTTATTATTCCAGCAATGATAAAGGACTAGTTTTGGTAATTAATAAGAAATTAAAGTCACTGAAGATTTTCATGACTAATAAAGGGCTTCTGGAATTGGTATGCCAGCATTCATCCATATGCCCAATAGTATTACAAGTTTTAATAAAAAGTATTAATATATCGATTATTTTTCGTAATTTGATTCTTTTTCACATGTTATTTTTTTGCTTATGTAATCTCGATTTAAATAACAAAAAAAGTCTAATATTACTTTGAATATTAATTATATAAAATATAGCAATTAAATAAAATATAATAATTTTAAATTAAATATATGTTAAAATATGACAACAATGACTCGAATACAATAAGATATTCGGATATATTCTTAATAATAATAGATACAATAATTATATACGATGTAAAAAGTATTCATCAAAATACTTTTTTATTTCATTAATATTTGAATTTAAATAAAATCTATATCTATATCTATATATATATTTATACAATTATATATTTACACAATTATATACACGTGAATTAATTATTAAAATTACATTTATAATTTAAATTATAAGAAAAAATTATTTTAAATAATTATCATTTTGTATTAGAAATTTTTATCTTGAATAATAAATGTGTTGAATAAATGTAGAATAAAGTACAATGTATAATGTAAAACGAAGAATAAAATACAATGCGAAAAAAAAATATTGAAAAATTATTTTAGACTTTGCTTGTTTTATGTTTAAGCTTGTAGAATCAATTTACTAAGTAGAAAATGGCAGGTACATGTATTTAATCATATTTTTAAGATCGAAGCAAATAGAACTGAGGAAAATAGAATTTCTTGGACAACATGATATAATACAACATTATATAATTTATATATGTGTGTGTGTGTGTATATATTATATATGTAATATTTACGAAAATTAGGTTAGATTAATATATTTATATTATTATTATTAGTACATTATATGCATCTCAATTCGAAGGAATGTTTTATTGATATAACACATACACTAATATCTTTTTGATAACTTGAAATAATGATTGAACTCATATGAATAATTTTTCACATTATATATAAATCAATATTGAATAAAATGAATTAAAATATAAAAATATGAAATATAAACATAAACATAATCTTTTCCAAAAATTTGCTTTCAATCAATAATGTAATAGAATATATAATATTATTATTTGATGAGCATTGCTATCAGTACCACTATATTCTGAAATGTCGTATCGATATTTTTTTATTTGAAGATACCGGATGAACAAAAGACGGTATAATGATTGAGAATATCGAGTGGATATTACGTTTGATGTAGACTGTTGATTTTTGTAGCGTGAACGAGGCAGTATTCATAATTAATTAATGAAGAATATTATAGATATATCCGATTTCTAGAAATATATCTGCATTGAATGAAAGAAATAAAAAAATAAAAAGAGATGTTCTCTTAAAATTGTTTCTTTAAAAAGATAAATAATAAAATAGATACAAGAGATAGAATTTTAGATGTATAACAATATATTGTAATGTATTGTAATATGTACAATGCGCATAATGTAATGCATGTTAATGTGAAGTATAATTATAATATAAAAAAAATATAGACAAAAAAAAAAAAGAAAAAAAAAAATAAGTACAAAAAAAATCTCATAATTTTATATAGGGATGAATAAACAATTAATTGCAATATAGATAAAAATATTACAATAAGTATCAAATTCAAATAAAAATATATTTATAATTTATTCACTGTTAATAATAGTTATGTTAATAAATTCAATTTTTAATAAATAAATAAATAAATAAATAAATTTTTTTGAATAGAATGTCAAAGTATAAGTAAATTTATATATAATTAATAAAAGCCAGAATTTTTTATTCCCAACAAATAAATAATTCTTTCAAAATTTTACATATAATTATCGAGCTGATAGAAAGTTGATAAATATTTAGGTAATGAAGTTTTATTGTAATTTCTATGGAGCTGCAATCGATATGTATTATTAATTCAATAATTTTTCTGTAAATTTCAAATGCACTTTTTTATATCATTTTTTATACAATTATTTAAAAACAATATCTATTACGATTATAAACTATTTATATTTATTTTATATTATTATATTTTATTATTATATTATATTTATTATAAACTATTTTTTATTGATTTATATTATAAATTATAGACGATAACGCATATAGATTTTAATTATATAATATTTTATTTATTTAACTAATTCTATCGATCCAACAGATGTTTATGTATTTATGACTTGCATATACAACAAAAGTTTACATTTTTTAGTTTACATTCACATTACAGTAGAAATTCCAAATATTCCAAAAATTCTTATCCTATTTGCTGCAATCAAAAAAAAAATTGGCTTTAGGAAATGACTTAAGGATATTATGATAATATTATGATATAGATAAATATATATAAATACATATTCTATTAATGAAAAATATGAATAATAAAGATTTTTTTCTATATCAATAACTTATTTATTGCAAATTTCAAATTATGTCATTATTGTAAATTTTTGTAACAACGTGTATATCAGACTAAGTACAATATAATATATTATAAATGAACAAAGAAAAAATTTGATGATTAAATGATTCTAAAAATTAAAACAAACACAAAAATTATATAAAAATTAAAGCTTATTTTTCAAATTATAAGCAATTTAATTTTTATTTTATCGTTGCTTCTTCATCTAGTAAAAAAAAGTAATTATTTATAAGCTTTAAGTTTTAAGAGGAAAGTTATTTGTGTAAATTTATTTATTTATTTATTCATTTTAATATATCCAATTATCCCTTTATTTTATTAGTTTAACACGATTCAAATAATATTTATTTTTAAAATTTCTGTTCTAAATTTAATTTTTTTAAAAAAAATATTACCATAATTATATTTCCATAATTATCATTTCTTAGAATAATGAATTTGAATTTTATTACAACTTAATTATGTAATAAAAATACAAATTCTCATAAATATCTATATTAATTATAACGCGATAGACTCTAGTGTTATAATTTTTTTTATTGTATAAGTTTTTTATCGTATTATGTAATAAATTGTATCGACATCAAATTGAATATGAAGAGACCAAGGCGTTAAAAATTTAAGTTCAGAATAATTACATGGATTAACAAACTTTAAACTTTTCATTTTCAATTACTAATAATTTTATTAAAATAATTAATTTTAATAATATTAAATAAATTAATTCTAATGAATAATCAATTGTATATCAGTAATTATATATTTTTTAAATGTGATAGATAATTTATATTCTAATTTTTAAAAACATCTAAAAAGATTTTGAAATATTTATTAAAATTTTTAATTAATTTAAAAATGATCATTAAATGAAATGTTAAATTTTTTTTCAATAAAAATAAAAACTCGTCCCGAAAAAATTTAATAATCGAATTTTCCCTCGATCCTCGATCTTAGATTTATATAATTCTTACAAAAAGTTAAGGATAACAACAAGATTAATTAAATATAGAAACGCTGAAAATTAATTCTGGCGCAAACTCAATACTAGGTGCTTTAGCAAATGCTTTAGTATTTAGCTAATATTCATAAATAAATTAAAATAGTTCGTTTAGATTTATGATAATGATTGTAATTTATTATTTTTTAATTATATATTAATTCTATTTATTTTAATCGATTCATTCGATATAAATCTAATTTTTATTTTTAAATTATAGTCACATATTTAATTATAATTTATATATTTATTTAAATAATATGAATTCTTTAAAAATTACAAAATCTTGACATTTTATTAAACAAATTAATTATTAAAAAAATTAAATTATTTTAAAAAAGGAAAAAAACAAATTTAACAAATGATAATTATTTTATAATTAGATAATCGAAAAAATATTTATTATATACATTATATATTATATATTACAATATTAATTATTATTATAATAATTATTATAAAAATTAAAACCAAAAAAAGTAAATATAACTTTTTCAATTTATATCATATTTAATATTAGTATAGGTATTATTTAAATTTGTATATGAAAGTGCGAAGTTATGTTTTAATATTAAATTCGAGAGGAAGAGGAGAATAAAAATAAATGATACATAATGTACATAAACGTTATTTGATATGCAATAAAAATCTGTAAATATGAATCTGCAAATAGTAGTTGGACTTTAATCTATCTTTAATTGGTAAAAAATTATAAGAAAATTAAATATGCTATTTATTTTTTTGTCTTTAATATTATTATAAATACATATTTTTAATTTTATATGCACTTTTCAAATTTCTTATTAATAAAATTAATAATAAAAAAAGTAAAAATTATTTTTTGATTAATTATTAAAATTATATGCATAAATGAAAAAAATATAAAATCTGAAAATATGACAGTAATATCAATGTAAATATAATAAATAAAAAAATATTAACATCAATATAAAAAACAGTATCAATTTTCATTTTTTAAAAAAAGTTATGATAAAAAAGAATAATTTAATTTTAATTTTAATTTTAATGTGATAATAGATAAAATATATGTATATAAAAATATAATTATATTATTTTTTTCCAATTTTATATATCATTAATGTTTTTCATATTATATAATTTGTGAATTTCTTTTTTAATTATAATAGAGTATACATATAATGAATATATAATTTATAAAACTTTATCCATTATAACATAAAAATATATTTTATATATATGTTATATATTTAAAGTTTATTCATTTTTTTCATAATATAAAACATTTAATCAAAATATTAATAAGATAACTATAAAACATTTATCATTAATATTAAAATCTTCTAAATTATATCAATTGAAGATAAATAGATTAAGATATAAATGTATAAAGATAAATTATAAAACTTACCTATTACCAGTAAATTCAATAATATTATTTTCGGTCACACGAAATTCGGAATCCTTATATCCCCATCCATTCCATTTCAGTATTTTTTGTCTTAAAAATTCAAAATAATATGATTATTTATATATTCTCATTTAGAATTAAATTATTTAGAAAAAAAATGAAAGAGTTTGCGAAGAAAAATTTGTAAAACCGTCGGCGCGCGCGTTTTTTGCACCACGTGACTGATCGAGCAACCAATCGGTAAAAACAGCATTAGTTTCTAGATAGCAAGTACCCGGTAAATAGATTTTGTTGAAAAAATATTATCTAATAACAAAAATAATAAAGGAAGTTAACCATTCTGATATTTTTGTCATTTGTTGCAAAAATAAATTATGATATTCGAGCATGAAATCATAATTGTCATCGAATGACAAATTTTATCGATCGATTTCTTTCTCTTTCATGCTCGAATACGAAGGGTGCTTTATATTCGCAACATCTGTCGATGAGTCACCTAATATTCAAGGCGTGGCAGTAACTAATTTATCAAGATTGTGATTCTTGTATGATAATTTATTGCAATATTGTTTCTAGAGCGCACGCTGGAATTTACATGAACTGACACAAACTAGAAATTGCCGGTACAAAACTGACCTTCTTTTGGAACAATACTCTCGAAATGGATGGGTCCATTTAAATTCTTCACATTCTCGTTTGTTTCATTTTTCTGATTAGTCGTCATATCTTATTGACTGCACCACGAAGGGCCTAACCTTTCGATCCGCACAACACGACCAGAAAACCGTAGATGCTTGAGCGCGCGCTCTTCGCGGCACTGTGTTAAGTATTGACACGCGCACCGGCAAACCAAATTTAAATCAATAGAGCCCCCGCCCTGTGACTACCCACCTACCGACTGATCTCGTGAAAAGAACCAATCACTTATACTTGATGCGTTCTCGGTGTAAATAACGAACAATTTCTACTTATTAGCAGTAAATCAACACACTACATTCAACATGTTTTCTGATGTTATATCTTACTAGATTGAGGGATTCTTTTCATGAAAATGATTTCTTACACATGCGCAATTAGGTATTCTATATAAAGAATTCATAGTGGTCTTATATTTGTTGAATATTACTCATTTATAATAAAAATAATTATGAAAAATATAATCAAACTATATAATAATTATATTTTAAATATTGTAGAATATTTATGAATTTTTTATTTCAATCATATAAGAAAAATATTAATATAATTAAATATAACCTAAATACAATGATACAATGTTAGTTGATCTGGATTTTAACTTGATTCATTTAATTTGTTTATTTTAATAAATTTTTTTGAATGAAAAATGTTTTTTTTATTTCAAATAAAAATATATAATTTTTTCTTTTTTTTAAATTATTTTTCAACTTAAATGAAAGTGTAAGTTATTTTTCATTGTTGAATTATCACAACTTTAAAAAAGATTTTCTTATACAATTCAACAGTTTTATAAACATAAATGTGCATAAATATACATTTATTTTTATAATTTCAAATTTTAATATTATTATATTTGACAAAACTTTTTTATAATAAATAATATATATTTTATGATAAAAAATAGTATATAAATATTAATTAAATATTAATAGAAGCACATGATAAGTTTTTTGGTAAGTTTTCTTTTGAAAATATTTTATATTTATTTAATTTTTTATTTATGATCAAAAAATATTTTTTACAAGTTAAGAAATTCTCACATTTCTTTTTTTTTAACAGTTTATATTAATATATGTTATATCATTTATATTTTTTTATATAGGAAATTATAAAAACTAAAAAACTATATCAAGTAATTATAAGTTATTAATATAACCTATAAATAAAATACGTGTGTACTTACGTGTATACAGCGCTAGATACAAAAATGCAACCAAAATTACTTAATGTAAATAGAATGCCCAGTCAACCAAAAAAACGTAGAAAAATTAATCTTGTATTTGATGAGAACAAAAGACGGTAATTTTTACTTTTTATTAATTTTTCATTAATCTTATTTACGAATTAAAATATTATAAATGATATGTTTGTCTTATATTTTTATAATAGAGAATTTCTGAAAGGATTTCGTAAAAGAAAATTACAAAGACAACAAAAAGCTAAAGAAGAATTGCAACAACAATTAAAAGAAGAAAGAAAAAGAATTAAACATGAGGAAAGTATACATACGTGTAAATTTTGATGTCGTGCAATAATAAATTATTGTTTTTACAGACACGAGAACGTTACAAAAAGTTATTGTCAAATCGTGACATTCCTGAAATTCAACAATTATTATCTCAACAAGAATATGAAACAGAAGGACATACTGTTAGTATATTAGAATTAAATATTGATGATTTAGCAGAAAAAAATGCATTAATTGGTGAAAATAAAGGTACTAATAATTCAGAAAGAGATAGGGAAATAGAAAGTGATAAAAATTCTGAAAATGATGAAGAAATTATAGGAATGTCTATAAAGGAAAAGGAACAAATTAAAAGTTCAAAAGAAAATATAAAAAATAAACAAATTGACAATAGAAAAGATTTAAAGAAAGCAATAAAAAAAGCTGCATTAAAACAAGTGAAAAAAAGTAAAGCATTTCAAAAAAACAAAAATTAGAACGTCAAAAAAATAAAAAAGAAAGTATGAGAAAACGTAGAAGAATTGAAAAAGCTCAGAAACGTATTGGGAAATCAAAAAAAAAGTTAAATTGTTAGGTTTTTCAAAATTTTCTTTTTAAATATTATAATAGCATAATAAACAGTTTTATAGTATTATATCTTTTTTTTCATACCATTTTTTGTATTTTTTGTAAATGGACATATATCTTTATTTAGGCATTCATCACATTTAGGAAATCTTGGTAAACATATTTCTTGACCAAATCCAACAAGTAAATAATTTATCTCACTCCAAAGATTTTTTGGAAGCCATTCTTCCACTGCAATTCTTGTATCTTCTGGTGTTTTAGTTGGTTTTTTTACCCATCCCAATCTATTACAAATACGATGTACATGTGTGTCTACTCCAATACCAGAAACTTCACCCCATGCTATTTGCATACATATATGAGCCATTTTTGGTCCCACTCCTGATAATTGACATAATTCCTTTAATGTTTTAGGAATATCACTATCATATTTATCAATTAAAATATTTGTTGTTTTTTTAATGTATTCTACTTTTCTCTGAAAAATAAAATTTCATTGAATATATAAAACAATGTTTAAATATTCTTTTATATAAATATAAATCCTTTTTTATAAAAATCAAAAATTAAAAGTTTTTCCATGATATCATATATAATTCCATAATATATTTTATATAATATAAAATATCTAATATATCATATTTTATATAATTAGATGTTAAATCTAAAAATTATAAAATTAATTATTAAGATATAAATTGTACCTTCCAAAATCCAACCGGATATATAAGTTTTCCGAGAGTATCATCAGGAGTACCTGCTATTATTTCTGGGGTACAACCATAAGTAATCAATCTCTGCATAGCTGCATGAGTTACTTGATCTTTAGTTTGACTACTAAGCATCAATGCAAGTAATGATTGATATCTAGCAACTTTAGCAGTAGCTTTAGGATCTGTACATTTGTGACAACCCATTTCATCTACAGGTGCTGTTTTGTATTTCCGCATTTCTTTAATATTCTCTACAATAGTTTCCCAATTTGATGGTTCCCATTTATCTATTATATTTATTTCTTCTTTCATAGTATCCTCTTGTAAATTTTCAATTTTATTGATTTTTGAATCACTTATATTTTTCATTTCTTCATATTTAATTTTTACTGGAGTACGTTTTTTTTTTTCAACTTTTTTTAGTGAAACAACTTTATCATTAAAATATTTTGATGTTGTCGATATATCTTTATTATGATCTTTATTTTCTGATCGTAAAGATCTTGATGTTATAAGTGCATCATTTAACTTTAATTTTTTACTCATTTTATAAAAATTATTATATAATGTTGTACAAATTAAAATTCTAAATAAAATAAAAATTATATCATGTCGATATAATACGATGTAATTCGAATAAGTTGATGTAATATAATTCGAAGATAACATAACCTTTTGCGCTTTCTTAAAATTAATAACAAACTTTTCTACACACTATGCGCATGCGTAGAAATAAATATTAATATAATATATATATATATATATATAAATACAAGAGATATTATAAAAGTTTCAAAGATTTCAAATACCAAAATGAAAACAAAAATTAGTATACAAAAATGTGGATTAACGCTTATTTTTTAAATTATAAATAATTTATAAATTATATATGTATTTTTACTTACTATTATATCATTATTAATTTTTATAAATTAAATAATTTGATAAAATTGCTATATTTCAAATATAAAAATATTTCAATTTATTATATTTTTAGAAATCCGTACACGGAAAAAAGTGTAATAAAAAAATTTATATTAATACAATTTTTTAATCGTTTATTTTTCTCATGTAATAAGAATAGTTACATAAATGAATAAATCATTAATCAAAATAGTACGGATTTCGCGTAAATTATTGAAATAATTGTTAATTTATATTCATTTTATGATAGCATTGAATCCAGACAAAAATTAAGATTTGTTTAATTTATATGTTTTAAATATTCATATTCATAAGATTTTTAATAAATAAAATATTCATAATAAAGAAAAATTAAATGACATTTAATTTTCATTAATAATTATATTTCTAATACAAAATCAATAAAAAATTCTTTTGTTTTAAATGTTATTTCAATGTTAAATAAAATTATACATAAATAAAAATTGTATATTATTTAAAAATATTTCAATAATTATTTAAAATTTGTACCTGATAATCAGAATATCTTAACCACAGATTATCTTATGTATATTATTATGTATATACATAATATTACCCAGTCTCTATTGATATACCAAAAGTTAGTAAAATAGAGTCCAAAATTTCATCAAAGTTTTAAAGTATTTATAAAAAATGTACTTTTATTGTAATATATGTATATAGAGTATACATATATTATACATGTAACTGAAACAACTTGTATTCTTTTTTGGTTGAAGTTAGATGAAAATATTCTTAAAAAGCACATATTTTCACAACCATACTTTTTTTAAATGATATAATATAATTTTTCTAAATAATATATAGTATTATAAATGTTATAGATAATAAATGAAAAATTATTGATTTGCGAAATATTTTGGAAGAATATCTTTATTAAAGAACATACATTTTTTTCTTTACATTCTAAACATTAACTGATAACTGAATTAATTGATTTTTAATTATTATTTTACAATTATTTTGATATATTATTTATACAGAGTTAAGAACATAAATATATACTATTTTTTAAATATAAAATCTAAAATGTTCACATTTAAATCAAACAAATATGTTGAATATCGAAAAATATGTACTGAAACATTTATCATTACATCATTAACATTAATATATTATGTAATTAGAACCATATTATTGAAAGTATTGTAAATCTGACTTAAATTATTTGATTTTTATAATGGAACATTATTAAAAAATATTGAAAACATTGATTATAAAAAATACAAATATTTTTTTTTTGATATAAAAAATTATCACAAAGTATTTGACTATCTTCTTTGATAAAGATATTCTGTTTGAACATCGAAATCAATCATTTTTTACTATGTCATTTTTTACTAATTTTTTTTTTTTGTTAGACTGAGATATATATTTCTTATATAAAAAAATAACATAATTGTAAAATATACATGTATCATTAAACTTACAATATAAATAATATTAAATATAACTCTATGAATCATTTATTTTTTTCTTTTCTATCCTTTTCTTCTAACTACAATCAAATAAAGATACGATTTTCAATTACGAGAATCATCCTATATATTAATTAAATTGTTTTTATGTAAGACTAATTATAAATAACATAAGTATAAAAAAAGATGAAGTAATATAACAAAAATTGTGCAATATATTTTACTGCTCCATATCTTACACATTCATTCCAATTTAATTTGAAAAAGGAAATTGCTTTGCATTATAATTTTTATATGTTATTCTAATATATACATATCTCTTTATTTTGCTAATACAATCATGTATTAGAGCTCATTTTTCTCCATGAATATATAAATGAGCGAATACTTTGTTACAAATATTGTCAGTCACATGTAATACTGCCATTATATTAACTGGGCAGAATAATATAAAATATTATTTTTTTATACATATATTCATAACTGGTCAGTTTAGACCAATTAATATTTATCAGACTAATTACTAAATTACTATCATATCAAGACAAGTGATATTAGTATTACTATGCCATATATTTAAATAATAATAAAAATAATATCTAAAAGTATCATACTTTAAATAAATTCTTTTAAATCTTTTTATTTGTTAATTATCTGGATTCAATGCTTATCTAACATATTATCAATGATAATGGACGGAGTGGAGGAATGTATACATAAAAATTAAAGAATAAAATTTAAAAAAAATATGATAAATGATATGTTAAAACTTGTGCTGATAATTTACAGAAATAAATCATCTTATACTTTAAATGCAGGCATTCAGGAAATTCAAATAAATTCATAAAATAAACATTAATTAAAATTACTACCAGAAACAATTAAAAAAAAAATTCTCCTATTAGTAAACAAATCACACAATTTACAAAATAGCAAAAACTACAATTCAAACTTGATCCATGTAAAATTATAAGTGTTCACATCATGTGTTCTTACTATACATTAATATATTTAACCTTTGTACTCAACCTGGAATCTGATTAGTAATGGTATTAGGACCAGTAGAAAGAACCGAAGGAATTGTAGAATCTTGCATTAAAGTACGTGTTTCCTCTTCCTGATCCGAAAGTGGTATTGCTGGAGTATCATGAGAATTTGTCTGCTTCAACTTCAGTTGACTCGGCAGCTCCGTAAGTACTGGTCCGTACTGCGAAGTGGAACCCACCAGCAAGTCAGTTGATGGATTCAAACCGCCCAACATCTTTCCTCATAGCAACGCGTATATAAGATAAAGAAACGAACGTACGAGCCAGAACTTGGATGACTTCCGGTAAATAAAACCAAACATAAAATATATATGTATTAAAAATGTCTTGCTTACCTGACCACTACTTCCAACCATTCCACCTCTTGGAGATTTACCACGACGGAAGAAACGCAACCAAGCCCAACCAAAACCCAATAGAAGCCCTATTAAAATCATGCTAGCACTTAAGGCTATGGAACTTTTTGCTGCATCTTCAATATGTTCTTCAATGCTTGTTGCAGATGTGGTAGGATGTTCATTTACCTTTTTATATAAATTATTTTCTAATTTAATTTCAATATAATATATAATATATATATTATATATATTTCATGAATATATTTATATATGTATGTAAATTGTATGTATATATACATATATATACAATACAATAAATTTTTATATATATAGAATATATATATAAATAATAGTTTATATATATATATATATATATATAAAATATAGATAAAATAATCTATTATAATCCAAATATAGAATTGATAATCCATCATATCCAAGTATGAAATCAATTGATAAAGTAATCTATTATAAAAATAAAAAAAAATTTTATAAATTTTATAAATATATTTATAGAAAAATATATAATTAAGCAAAAATATATATATATATAAATATAACAAAAATGATAATATCTTTTTCTTATTTTTAAATTTATTTTTAAATTTTATATGAATTTATATAATAAGAGAAGAAATGAAAATAAGATTGAAAACTCTTATGTTTAATTTTATCATTTATATAAATATAAAACAATATTTTATTAGTATTATTATATAAGATATTATTTATAATAATAAAAAACAATTTCTTTTTTAAAATATAAACTAAATGAAATATTTTACATTGAGATAAAAATTATTGCAAATTTTTAAATATTAAATTAACAATTAGAAAAACTAAATAAATATATATGTATTTATCATACATTTATTTTGAGTATAAATATTATTTATTGCAAATGCAAATTCATTTAAATAAATATATCATGTTAATATCATATATTCCTGAAGATTAAAATATTCATATAAAAAGAATAATAAGAACCATAATATTATAAGATTATCAAATATTTTTAATTACCTCTATTTTATTTTCTTGTGATGTGTCATCTGATACAAAACTGACCAACATCGTCGTTAAACCAGCAATAAAAAATGATAAAGCAATTGAGAGTAATACCCATTCAAACCATTTTCTAGAGCTAAGTTTATGTCTTGATATAATCCTCCAGAAACCACTTCTTAAACTGCCACCACCTCCAGCACCATCACCTCCGCTATCGTATGTATAACCTACTGTTGTAGGTTGATAAACAGCACCACTATCTGGCATATCTTCTCGTGAAATATACGCAATTTTTACAACTTTTTAGGCCCAAAAATGGGCACTTCGTAATCACACGAAAAACTTTTAATTAAAAGATTATTAATAAGAGATAAGTAAAAATAGTATTGCTTAACGCAAGGTACTAAGAGATAATACTTTACTACTATGTCAACGTATCAAATTTTGATTATTGTCTATAATTATATTTAAACTTCTATTCCATACACTGGAATATTAATTTTTCACAATTTTCTTGCTATATATTCACATGCATATAAGTATATATACATATATTCGCAATGCAGATACAATATGACATACAGATACCTAGATATTACGTATTAAAAATCTTTTACGAATGTCATAGATATCGTGAATTACAGACATACGAGTAGTATTAACAAAATGTATCTACTTCAAAATATTGATTATTATAGTCGTACGATGGCACCACAAGCGGATTTACATACTAAATATAAACACTTATATATACACTAATATTGTTAGTATGAAAATAATGTTTCATAAGTATTTACATAAATTAATTTTAAAAAGACATTCGAAGAATATTTCATAATTTGATAACATAATCCTATAAAAAAAAATAATATTTAAAATATTTCATTATTTTTAAATAATACACGTTATAATATTTCTCATTTGCTTAGAATTAAAAAACTGTCAAAAAATAATTAATTCGTGATAATATAACAGAATTAA